CCTTTGGAAATGGCCTAGAGATACTCCAGTCAGTAGCACCGCCCTGTGTCTCGTGCTCTGGCCATGACAAAAGCCATTTGTCACAGCAGCATCTTGACTCCTTTGCCTTATTTAAGAATTTAAAAAAACCCAACAAATGACGGAACAGCGCTCGTTGTATAGGTCAGAACGGGGTTATAATTGAGGTCAGAGGGAAATGATGAATCAGAGGACAGAAAACCGTAGAGAGGGAAAGAAAAGAAGCAGGACCTTCCTTCCTGCAACCCCCTGCACTTGATTAGACTACCAACAGCTGTCAGCACAACGGGGGCACCAGCCGGCAGCAAAAATCCCCGCCAACATCCTGAACTTTTCCGCCCCTTGGAACGTGCGCAGTGACTCAAATAGAGCACATTGTGTAATACATCTTGAAAATGGTGAAATGGTACTGGTATGTATGGGTTTAACGCCTCTATCAACACTATTAGGTTATTTAAGAGTTAAGTTTGAGTAAGAGTTTTACGGCACTTGCAACACAATAAGGTCATATAAGAGCCGAAGACTAGAGGCGTTATAAGGGAGTAACAAACACAAAAAAGAAGGAGGGAAGATATAAAGACGATACATGTTTGATAGGAATGCTTTACGGCACTAGTAACACAATAAGATCATATAAGTGCCGAACATTAGAGGTGTTACAAGAGAGTAACAAACAAAGAAAAGAAAGAGGAGAGATAGGGACAATGTTTCATTGGAAAGAAAAGCAAACCACACCAGAGCACCCGCCAACCACCCACTGACCTGTAAGTTTGGTCAACAGGCAAAACAAAACGTAAACAACCCGAGAGCTTCCACAGACGATCCAAGCTTCAACACAGAAGAATACACAAACACACTCAAAAAACAAACACACATAAACACAGAAACAAACACACTCACAAACAAAGACACAAACACACTCATAAACAAACACAGAAACACACTCACAAACACACTCACACACAAATATACTCGATAAAGAGATGGATAAAGTACCTTTGTCGTCTCTCACTTTCGGTGTACACACACACACACACACACACACACACATATGAAGAGAAGAGAGTGGACAAAATATGGCCATCTCACCTTTGACACACACACACATCACACACACACACACACACACACATTGATATACACACACACACACATTGATATACACACACAGCCACACATACACACACAAACATACACACACACAAACATACACATACACACAAATGCACACATACAGACCACCAAAGTCTTCTCACCTTTGACGCAAATCCGCTCATTGAGTTTCCAACGTCATTTAATAAATGTCCTTCTTTTACCTGAGGAAACACAAAAGAAGAGAACACATTTAATTTTTCGCCAAATATAATATACATAGTTGTACGCCCATTCCATGGATTCCTGTGAAGAATGGAATTTCCATCACACCACAACATAATATCAAGAAATGAATATCAGTAGAAAGGACGCTTGAAGAAACCAAAATTTGAAGAAAAGGGGGAAAAAAACAACAAAACCACATCTGAAGATGAACATTGAGAAGAGAATAAAATTTGATGATAAAAAGATTGAGTTGGAAGAACATCTTAAGAGCAAAACATGTAGGAAAAACTAACATAAGGCGGAGAAGACATATTATCTATTGAAGAATATATATTTCTGCACTCAAGGCCATGCTGAGCTGGAAAAAGAGAAGAATGAGGACGGATCAGACATACTGAAAAAACAAAAAGAAGAAACAGAAAGACATTTCACGGCCCTTTCATTTAATGGCGGACGCGTTCTCCTAAACATTTGCCAGCAACCACGACCAGTTTGAATGTAACCTCCGATTTTAGTTTTAGTAAGAGTTTTACGGCACGTGCAACACAATAAGGTCAGATAAGTGCCGAAGATTAGAGGTGCTACCAGAGAGTAACAAATACGAAAAAGAAGGAGGGGAGATAAGGACGATAGACGTTTGATAGGAAAGAAGGAGGGGAGATAAGGACGATAGACGTTTGATAGGACAGAAGGAGGGGAGATAAGGACGATAGACGTTTGATAGGAAAGAAGGAGCAAACCACACTAAAGCAACGGCCAACCACCCACTGAATGTCACCGGATTTCCACCGACGGTATGAGGGCCCATGACATTACAATACACAGAGGTCTGGACAGAAGACATTTTGTGTCCTGACTCGGAGGAATCGGCACTCGTCAATTTTTGGACATATGGAGTTACTGGTACCATCCTATAATCTGTTCATTTGTCTAAAAAAATTACCTGTGTATCTTGAATACAAGTCGAGAAATTTGCGATTGAAAGGGGCGGGGGTTGTCTGGTTTCAAAGGTAAGATTGGAGAGAAGATGGCCACCAAATAAATAGCTTGAGTGTCCTTGGAAACTGAAAATTTACATTTTGTGTGTGCCTTTAATCAACGTTTTTCAGTAAAATTCACACAGACATTTTTTTCAAATATACATTAAAGTTGTTGAGCAAAAACCCCCACTCTCCCCCTCCCAAAAAAAAACAACAACACAAAAAACACAA